TTAAACCATGGAAGTAATTTCTCATTAAAAAGTCATTTTTGGTGCCTGCCCATAACCGGCTATATTTGTGACTACAAATATTTGATCTTCAACTGCAGATTTATGATTTTACACTGCAGATTATTATATATATTCTCCCTTTATAAAATATATCATGTTCACCTGGTACGAGTTGTGCATTTGCCAATCTGTTCTGATAAGAGTACAAATTATATATTAGCTGGATAAAAAAACCTTGAAAGTTCAGTTGGCTCATCATTTGCATACGCACATACACTAGGACCAGTTTCATAAGAATTCTGATCAATTACATACCTATAGTGTTATAAAATATGGTAGGAAGACTAGGTAATACTGTTACCTAGGAAGAAATAGAAACAAGAGTAAGAGGAGAAATGAATTTTCTCCAAAGATGGATACGTGGATGAAAGATAATGCATTCTGGAGTTATTTGAAGAAATAGTTTAAATGATTCTCAAGTGTGAAGAGATTCCTAATTTGTGTACTTCATTTATTTTTACCATTAACTGAAGTAGGTGCATAAAGCAAGTAACAGCAGATTTTGCAATTTGGCCATGAGAAGCTCTGAATGAAGGTGGGCCGTTCGTAGTGTACTGAGTTAGAGCTTCCTGAGAAGTTTCAAGGTATTGGTTTAGATAGATGGAAGTCTGAATCCCATAAGAAGGACTAAAAATAGAAATTTGAACATCAGCAGTGTAAATCTTTTTTGTTACAGAAATTTTCAGAGACTAAACTTTCAAATGGTAAAGAACCTCTCGAGTGAAGATTGCCAGAACCTGTTGGATATTAGAAACCATTGGTGTGCAGTTAGTACTTTGTGTTACAGAGAAAAATCAGAGGACTTGAATGTAAGGGCTTTGAGGAAACTTCATTCAGTTCGGCTTAGGCAGGAATGTGACTCATGCCCTATTAAAGTTTGCCAAATTCAGTTCTATATTGTATTTTTAACAGACCAAATCCCTAAAGAAAGTACCAGTACATCCTAAGGCATTTCTCTCTTAATCATTTATCTTGGATTATTAGTATTAGAAATCAAGAAGATTTTTCTTATTCATTTAAAAACCACAGTTTTACGGGGGAGTGGGAGGGTTCTTCAATTTGCTGATTCATTTTCTAAACGGCCACAACACCCAGGCCCGGACCAGTCTGGAGCCGGGAGCTTCTTCTGGGTCTCCCGTGTAGGTGCAGTGGCCTAAGACCTTGGTCCATTTTCCCCTGCTCTCCCAGGTACATACGCAGGGAGCTGGATCAGAAATGAAACACCTAGGGCTCGAATTGGTGCCCATGCTTGTGCCATAGGCAGCGGCTTTACCCACTATGCCACTGCACTGGCCCCTGGTTTGTTGATTGGATATAGGTACGCTTTTTGCTGAGCTGAAAGTTTAACCCCTTTTCTTCCTTCCTTTGTATCTTTATGGATTCCTGTAGGCAATTGGCTTTGTGTTCTCACAACAGTTTAATTTTTTCCATTTTTCTTGTTTATTAGTTTTTTTCTAGGTTAAACAGGAATATTTCTTAGCACATCAGTTTCCGTGCTTAAACTTAATAGCTACAGTAGATCTCTGGTAAAGTAGAAGCTGATTGCCAACGTGTTATTCCTAAAAGCTGTACTTATGTTAATTAAATATAGGTAGCAGTATTGGCTACACACTTTTTATTTACATTGCATGAAATGAAGTTTTCTAGGACAAGCACACAATTTTAAAACTTAGACTATGCTATATAATCCTGATTGTGCATTAAAATAATGTTTGTGTTTTGCTTTGTTTTGTTTTCTGATTTTCAGGGTGTGACTCCCAACCCGTTTAATCTGAACATATTAGATTAGGTCTGGATATCCAAACATTGCTTCTAATTAATAATTTATAAGTAACCATATAATTTGTTAATTGTGAAGCAATATCCTTTTCCTCTTAATAATTTATAAATAACTACAAAATTTGTCAATTGCTTGTCTTGGAATTGTAAATACAATTAGTAAGAGTCATGAGAAAATTTGTCCAAATTCAAGTTTTATGTGTCAATTATGTGAATGTTGACTTTCCTCCCTGAATAAAAATCTAGTTTCTATAAGAAGCCAAATACTATTACAGTATTTTGAAATAGTGAGCAAGACAAACTTTTAGAACATTGCTGATAAAGATGTCAACTGAAATAATAATGATAATCAAACCTTGTATTAAATTGGACCAGCAGTACCCTAAAAATGAGATCCTGTAACATTAAAAATCTTAAGACAAATCTTTTTTCTTGGAAGCTCCTTTTCTGTTTAGTGCTTTGTGCCTGCAGGCTGCTCTGTGAGCTTGGGACTGCCGAGGCCTTATTAGTGGTGATTTGACATAGTAGTAGTAGTTTCAGCACTGAAGTATTTTAGTGTGAGGTGTAAATGTCTCCTCACTTCTTGTGTTGCTTGCAGGAATAGGTGCACACTATTTTACTATGGCATTTTCAGATTTGTGGGTTTGATACTGTGTTTAGTAGTCCATTCTCCTGATGTGTACGTTAATGTGTACGTTAGTAGTTTTGCACTCAACTCAGATATTGGGTATGAAGCTATGAAGTCATATTCCCCTACCCTGGTCTCCTCTCTCCCTTTTGTTTTTGCTTTGAAACACAATAGCATGTTCTTTATGCTGAACTGTTGTGTGTGGATGTTCTTAGCTTCTCAAGAACACACAGTACTTTTGTAAATTAATTCTCATATGCATATCTTTGAATATGCATACTTTTGCTGTCTTTGCTGTTTGGAAATGTTTGCTATTTCCTGCTGTTTCAGGTATGAAATGTTCCATTAGTAACTTCATTTGGTACTTTTTGCATTCTTTAATGATTGTGAAAAACATGGCCAAGAAGTGTCCCTGCCAGGATTCCTTGCAGGATCATGAATGCTGATGTATGAATTGTTGGCTGAGGTGTTTGAGCCATATACATCTTTCTGTTTTTTCTTACTGTGTTTTGGTGAGATTATAGAACTAAAATACTATGATTTTAAAGGTCGTTTCTTTTCACTTCAGTTTTTATCCTTTGATGGCTTGATTTGGAAAAGTATTCTCGTCTCCACCTAAATATTAATGTAGATTTATAAAGTTTGATTAAACAAAGAATTTGTTAAACAATCAACGTGTGACTTTTGTACTCTTTTTGTCTAAAGTAATTGATTTTAAACCGTATGTGGCTTTCATAGTACTCACAGTTTTAAAACTAGTTTTCCATTGCTGTGGTAGCACACTAAAGGCGTGATTAAGACATACACAGTTTACATATGTGAAGGGAAGGTAAAAGCAGTTCTTGAATAGTTCGTATGTTGGACTTTTCTTTCCCACTCAAGCCACCATGACAGATTTTTCACTTTTTTGTTGACCATTGCTAGCGTGCATTGTGCTTAGGGTACTATTGGGTTTTGATAAATATTTACTGAATAGATTAAACATTTAACACTTAAAGGTTGTAGTCATTTGTTGGTGGTTCAAGAATACTGCAAATGTAGGCTACCCTAATTCCATATGCACACAAAGGATATCTGTGACTAGATACAATAGCTAGCCTATGTTCATGCAAAAGGACACTTTTAATTGTTTTCTTGTACAACTGGGTAGCTGATTTTAGTTTGTTTTTATTGAAGATTCTAGTTGATCAAGTGCAGTTTTGTTGATTTGGTGTTGAAATACAGAATCTAATACTTGATGAATTTCTTTTGATAAAAATATTCTATTAGGGCTTAAATCTAGAAGTAGTCATGAATATTAACTTCTACAACATTTGGTGTTACAAGAATTAGCTTATTGTGTATGTTTTTTAGAAGTGTACTTGGTCTGTTGATTAACTATTAATGTTAAAATGTGCAGGAGCTCAGAAATTTTTGCATATATACACATGGAATTTTTTTAGAAGACCTCAAAGAGATTTACTTACTTTTATTTAATAACGACTTTATCATATCTAGTGGTTGTTATTTGTCCCCCCCACCTTACATATATATCTCTTTGAAAGGCAGTTATATATATGAGAGAGAGAGAGATTGGGAAGTATCTTTTTCCATCTGCTGTTTCATTCCCCAAATGAAAATAGCCAAAGGAGAGAGGGATAGAGAGAGAAAGAAGGAAGGAAGGAGATCTGTGATCTGCTGATTCACCCCTGCCACAGATGAGTGCAAGGACCAGAACTGAACTGATCAGGAGCTAGGAGTTTCTTCCAAGGTCCCTCCTGCTGTTTTCCCAGGGTCATTAGTTAAGGGGCTGGATTGGAGGAGCTAGATACAAAGTTGGCACTGCATATGGGGTGCTGACACTGCAAGGAAACAGCATTGCTTGCTATGCCACAATCTAGCCCAATTTTTTTTCTCTTAATTAGTTTATATGCCAGGTTTAATGTTGATAAGCCAGATGTCAAGTGTCACTTGTTGACCTTCATGGTATTTTGTGTTAAAAAGTAGTACTGTGCATTGATATTAACATGTGTTTTCTGGATATGCTTAGATGACCGTATTATAAATGGACATTCTGATGTATTGATAGTTTAATATTGCTTGAAAAATTATATGCATTCTGAAAAGACAATTCTTTGTAGGTGAACAGATAAGTATAGTGATTATTGAAGAATCAGCAAAGGCACCAGTTTTACTCTGTGACAGTTCTCAGGAGTGGGTAATTTTGCTTTCAGAGATACAAGTCTCATTTTGAGTTAAGATATGGTATTGATAGTACCACTGGACTTATTCTTGCATTTCTGAAAATATTGTGTTTAAGCAGTTCTGTGATACTTCTTGCATACTTGAATATAGTAACAATGAATTCAGATTCTCCATTGTTAGTTGTCTTAATAACCCAGCAATATGTCAGTTGTCAACAGTAAATGGTTAAAGTAACTCTGGTTGGCTGGTGCATTTTGTTTGAATATCATAGTTTTGTTACATTAGGCCTTACATACTTGGAAAAATGCTTTAAGTTTAGTCTGTTAATTTTCTCATTCTCTTCTTGCAGCATTTTCAGTTAGCTTTGGTTGACTGCAATGCCTGCACTTTGTCCAATGCTGAAAGTAAGTATTATTAAGTGCCATAGTTTTCTGCCTACATTCAGGTCACTTCCAGGGCTGTTGTTGCTGCTCCTGACGATGCTGTTAGTGATGAATTCCCCCCCCCCCCCTTTTTTTGGACTAGAGTTGTTGAATGTCACTGTTAGTTGTCATGGATACTTGTTTAGATGGAACATTTGAGAACAGATATTGTGAATAGCCTGTGTCTCAAATACTTAGATCGGTGAAATGGTTGTTGAATTAAAATTATCTACACTAATGAAGAAGGTTTTGGGTATGTGTGTATATGTATCAGTTACATTGTAGATGATGTGGTGTAATTAAAAACACTTTGCCAGTTATTTAGGAAAATAGGTTTACAAAAATTCTTGTGTGCTAGCTGTGATTCCTGCTTTATGGCACTAAAATGATTGGTAATTATGAAGGTGAATTTTGTCTTTTTTATTAGAGATCTTTAATATATACAAAGTTTGAGGCGGGCTTTTTCTCATTTAAAAATAATGCGTTTAAGCATTTGAAAGTAATGCATTTAAGTAGATTTAAATGACAGAACTGCATTTATCAATATCTATATTGTGAATTTTTAAATTTGGCATATAGCATATCCAATTGATAGTTTTACGAATAGTGACTGGATATAAATCAGATTTATTAAATATTTCTTACTTGAAAAATACAAAATTGAATTAGGGTGTGAGAAAAACGGAGCATTTCTTTATGAAAATTTCAAGTCATTTAAATGGATTTACATTTTAGAAAATAATTATGCTATAAATTGTCTTTTTGACAGCATTGAACATAATGTCTATGTTTAGAAATGAATGTCCAATGAAATTTTTGAATCGGGGGAAAAACAGAAGAATTTTGAATAAAACATGGAACAAGGCATAAAATGAGTTAAATTACCACCTAATTCAGATCAGTTAATCTCATGCTAAAGACCATTTTCAGAGAAATCATTGGGTTTTCTTTAAGTGAAAAATTGCATTTTCTGTCAGTGAAACGGAACATTTCGTAATGATAAGTGTATCTGAGCAGTAAATGATAGAAGGGTAGCCATAGCAGCAGCATTTTACAGTCTCTAAGGTTAGATTTGAAAGCTAATTCAGCTCTCTGATTTAGTGCTTTATAAAAATGCTAATTTATTCTTTTTCCTTTATCATGTATCTGGATCATATAGACTAGCATATAACAGGAACAAGGAGAAGCTGGTTTTATTTAAATCATTACTGTCTAAAATCTGAAAACTAACTTTGGTAATTGTTAGTTTGAATAACTTTTGAAGGATTTAGAGATTATTTATTTATTTATTTTTGGTTTTTGAAATTTTATTTGAAGGTGGTGGGGGGGAAGTGGTGGTAGAAGTTCGGAAAAACGAGATCATCCATAGGCTGGAACTGGATCAGACTAAAGCCAGTAGTCTGGAGCTCCATTTGGGTCTCCCATGTGGGTGGCAGGGGACAAAAGGCCTCGGAGCATCATCTGTTACTCAGCTTTTCCATGCTCACTAGCATGGGTTGGAATCAGAGTAGCCGGTTCTGCAGTAGTCCCTCCAGTGTGTTTCAGGCCTCGGACTTTCCCGCTCTGCTACTGCTTTCAGCCTCTTACCCTGCAGATGGCGTGTTAGCTCTTAGTCGAACACCTGCCTTACTTTGTAGTGTTACCGCTGATGTGTGTTCCGCAGGCCTTGACTCTTCCTCCTTCCGTGGTATTTTGTCATAAAGAAAAGAAGTATAAATTATTTTATTCCAGCTTGTATCTGATTAATTCATGTACCATCCATTTTTAATTTATGGGGAGATGTATTTTTGATCCCAAAATATTATTTTATTTTAAATATTTTATTTGCATATTTTGCGCTTCTGATAAGGAGCTTATGATTGTGTGTGTCCCACCACCCCCCCCCCCCCCGAACTGAATAAAACGGCAGCTTTTCAGGCTTTCCCTAGGTTTTTGATTTATAATCACAGGAATCTGTTTTATTGACAAATCCTCTGGGTGAATGAGGAATTTATCAAAGCTGGGGTTCTTACTTTTAAAGAATGCACATAAACTTTATGCATATAATTCTGAATGAGTCCCAAATTTCTTGAAATTCTGCTGTGAATAATGGACACAGCATTTTCAAGACAGATTTATCATGTAAAGTGCACCATGTAATGTTCAAGTTGCTCATTGTTGATTTTCTTGTCATTCATACAGTAGTAAAGAGCTGGAAATTAGGGCTGAAATATTCTTTTAAATTTTATTTTCAATATACACTTCTTAAGACTGGACTGTTTGCTCTTACATTTTGTTGATAGGACTTTTCTTTTTAAAATGGCACAGTCCAGTTTCCTCTTTATGCTGTTCCTGGTGTCTTAGTATGGGATCTCTTGAAAAATGTTCATTGTTTCTGTAAAAGATGATATAAGAAAAAAAAATCAGAGGCTTTTTGGGGGTTATATATATATGTGTATGTTTTTAAAAGACTTATTTATTTATTATTGCAAAGTCAGATATATAGAGAGAGAGGAGAGACAGAGAAGAAGATTTTCTACCTGATGATTCACTCCCCAAGTGACCACAACTGCTGGAGCTGGGCCGATCCAAAGCCAGGAGCCAGGAGCTCTTCCAGGTCTCCTACGCAGGTGCAGGGAACCAAGGCTTTGGCCTATCTTCCTTTTTTTTTTTTTTTTTTGAGGGGGTGTGGCTTGGAACTCAGTTTTTAATACTGTTTGATACCTTAATACCCAATTTAATACTATTTAACAGTGAAATGCATTGATTATTAAGGTTTATTTTACTTTCTTATGTTGCCATTTTGAACTTCCTAAGATGTAGAGTCACATGCAAATGTTGATGTAAATCTGATAATGGCAAACAATGGATATATGTGATTTGTATCATGTCCTATATTCTTCAGTATATTTGTTTATATATTTAACTAAACGTGCATGAAAGCACTGTACCTGTTTTTACAAAAGTCTATGCAGTGTATGTAGACTGTACTTATGATTTACATTTGATGTTTTAATTTAGTTTAAAATCTATTGTTGATTTTAAAAAATGTTTCATCATCCTTTGCAGTTCAGTTTCACATTGCCCACTTGTATGAAACCCAGGTAAGTGTATCAACTTCATCTATTTAAAACAAAAAGAAAAATTTCACTTATCCCTTTTTAATTTTTTTATGAAATTAGATGTGTACAGATGTTTATGAGTTCTTTAATCAGTTTTGTGTTTTTACTCCTTAAAAGTGGTCGTGATGTTGCTTAGGAAGGTATACGCAGTACTTGCTGAATACAAAAGATGCATTTAATTTTTTTTATCTCAATACATTTGCAAATTCAAATAACTGTGCTTTAGATTCCTTTTATTTATAATGCCAAATGCCTCATTTTCTTTGCAAAATACTTGCTAGTGCTTAATGTAATACATTGTTTTAAAATAGTATCTTTTGCTTTCTCTTAAAATTGAACTATGTCTTCTGCATGTCTATCTAAAGGGCATTCTGTAGTTGCCACCCCCGGCCCATTTCTTTGAATGGTGCACTGACAGTGAGGGAGATTGATGTGCTGTCTGCCGATGCATTCCCCGGTGGCCACAGCAGCATGTGAAGGGTGTGTAGAAGCTAGGAGCTAAAAACTCCGTCCTGCTTTCCCCAGTGAGTGATGGGGGTCCAGGTTCTTCAGCCACCCTTCACTGCTTTCCCAAGCATGTTAGCAGGAACCTGACCTGAATTTGAAGCTGAGCTGGGACTTAAACCATCATTCCAATATGGCAACTTGAACTGCTGCATCACAATGTCAGTCCTGTGGCAACTTTATTTTACAACATTTTTGGTTTACTTTTTAGGACATTTTGTTTTTGTTTGTAGCAGATTTTGCTTAGTTACATGATTAAGGTACTTAAACCTTGGGAAGTGTTATGGAAGACTGTGTTATAATAAAGCCCCTCAGGCTCATAGGCAGGAGATATGGAATCTGTTATATATCATTATTCGTATTGTTTTGGGACATTATGAGATGTTTTGACTTCATTTGTGTGCTGTGGTTCTCCAGTCTGAGGCACCATCGGGAGCTTTAAATCCTTACTGGCAGATTCCTGCGTCACCTGGGCTCTTTCCCCGGCCTGGCTGCCACACACCTGTAACCACTGAATCAGAACTGCTGGTGCACCCGGGCTGAGCTCTGATGGCCGTGTCACACCGCCATCATCAGCTTTTCTAGTTGTTGATGACATTTCATATTGAAATAAAGTTTTCTGATATTTCTTTTTAGTGAGTACTCTTAGTGGGCTAGAATTCTCTGGCTGCTTTCCGATTCACCTTTCCTTCAGCTTTTGTCTGCTGTTTTATGTTTCCTGTTGATCTGTTCTGAGGGGGTAGGGTGCTTGCCCACTGATTGCTTCACTGCATGCATTTCCTTTTGTGATTGGATTGTTGTTTGTGACCGTTTTTACACTTTTAAGGAACACTGATTTTTCTTCTTACTACTTGTTGAATTATTTATTTATTAGAGGATTTAGTTTGTGATATTAAAATTGAAAATATGGTATTGTAAAAATGGAAAGGAAAGTAAGAGAGGATATATGGGGAAGAATTTTGCTCTCAAAACTGTATATATATGTAAAACATGAAATTTGTCCTTTCCTTAAACATTTAATTTAAGAATATACTAACAAAACTGTGGTAAACACAGCTGCATCTTATTCTGGCACCAGGCAGCCAGCTAGCAGTTTAGGCCTGCTTTGAGGGGAAAGTCTAAGAAAGATGTGGTTACTTGTCTAGTTTGTTCTCCTCCTCCAATCTGGTTTTGCCCTGGCTTTTTTTTTTTTTCTTTTTTTGTCGCTCTGTAGTCCTTTGTAATAGTTAACATTTGTATTTTGTCCACCATTTAAAACTGTGGACGCTACTTCAACACTAACATTGGGAAAAAAAGAATATGCTTAACATTGTTAAAGATAAGCTTATTCTCCTTTTATTTTTTATTTTTTATTTTATTATTATTATTTTTTAGTATTTCTAATTTTTATTGGGAAGTCAGATATACAGAAAGGAGGAAAAACAGGGAGGAAGATCGTCCATCTGCTGGTTCACTTCCCAAGTGGCTGCAATGGCCAAAGCTGAGCTGATCAGGAGCCAGGAGCTTCCTCCAGGTCTCCCACACGGGTGCAGGGTACCAACACCTTGGGCCATCCTCCACTGCTTTCCTAGGCCACAAGCAGGGAGCTGGATGGGAAGCAGGACTTCCGGGATTAGAGCCGGCACCCATGTGGGATCTTGACCCATGCAAGGCGAGGACTTTAGCCACTAGGCTACCACACCAGTCCCTCCTTTAATTCTTTTGCAATTGCTACTTATTGTTCTGTTGTAATCACTCGTACTGTGTTATTTTTCCACTTGCCTAATTACTTAGATCCGAGGTGTTCACCAGGTCAGTAGTAAATCTTGTCAGGAGAACCTGAGAGTTCTGCTTTACTCACATTTCCATAATGCTTACAATTACTCAGCTTATGTTTTCCAGTCTCAATAAGAATGTACACTTCTAAATATTTTTTCAGTGTGCATATATGTAATGGGATTTTTTGCCTATGCTTTTTTTGATTTAGTTCTTTTTATTCCCTATGATTTATATCCTCTTTCAGCCATGTTCAAGAAATTCTTTCTAGTGCATTTTACTCTTTCAGTTTGCTTATTTAGGTCTTCAGAGGGAAAGTTGGTTTTCTGCAAATAGTATAATGTAGATATCCAACTTCCTATTCCTAAATAAGGTGTAACCATTTTTTCAAATATATCCGTTTTCAATTGCTGCAGTTGGGGGGAGTGTTGACAGTTGTTGAGGTAGTTCCATAGTGAAATACCAATCTGATCATGTTACTTTAAATCATTGTGTAGTTGCCGCTGTCCTAAGGGACCAAGCAGTTACTTCAATGCTCTTTTTGTTTGTGAAGTAAAATCTGTTAGTGAATTTTCTGCCCAGCTTACTAGTATTCTAATTTTTAACACGGGCTCAGTCTCTTCGAAAAGTATCAAACTATTATACATAGTTTTTTTTTTTTTTAAATCCTGAAGCAATTTAACAAGAGTTAGTCAGGCTGTTTTTTTTTTTTTTTAAGATTTATTTATTTTTTATTGGAAAATCAGACATACAGAGAAAGGAAGAGAAAGAGAGAAAGGTCTTCCACCTGCTGGTTCATTTCCCACATGGCCACAACGACCAGGACTAAGCCAATCCAAAGCCAGGAGCTTCTTCCGGGCATCCCACATGGGTGCAGGGTCCCAAGGCTTTGGGCTGTCCTCCACTGCTTTCCCGGGCCACAGGCAGGGAGCTGGATGGGAAGTGGAGCAGCTGGTACCAGTGCCCATATGGGATCCCAGCCACTACGAGGCAAGGACTTTAGCTACTAGACTGCCTTACCAGGCCCATGTGTACAGTGTTCCTCACTGCACTGTGTACCAGCAGTTCCAGTTATTGTGTCAGATATTCAACAAATGCTTGCTGACTTGAACAGTTCAGTAACTTTGACGCTCTCCTTCATTAGCTTACTAATTTTTAGGCCAGAATATTGTTCTGAGAGTACTGGCAATCCATTGTTCTGCCAAGTGTGATTTAATAGTAATATTTATGAAGTTTTGTTAACTTTTTGTTTTAGAGGATTTGTAGGTCTTATACTGTTAAAATAATTGGATTCAGTCCTGTTAGTACTTTTGAAGAGAGATCTTTGGGTAAGCAGTTTCATTTAGTGGTTTGCTTAAACTGTTACAAATATCATTAAACCATTGTTATGGAAGACTTGATGCTTTTGAAATAAAATATGTGTTGTATATTAACAAGGACATTTTCTATTCTGGGAACTGTATTGAACACTAATGTTTAAAGCCATTTCCTTAGAGTTTTCTACAGCATTTTTGGCATGTACTGTACATAGTATTTCTAGATATGCCAGTTATGGATTTAGATGTGTTTCTTTGGCCTCATTAATGTTACTAAAGAAAGTTTATTTCATATATGTCACTAAATAAGTTGAGATGTTATTAACCTGGAATTTGGCAAAAAAAAAATTTAAGATTTATTTATTCCTATTGGAAAGACAAACTTCCAAAGAGAGGCAAAGACGGAAAGATCTTCCATCTGCTGGTTCACTCCTTTAATGGTGATAATGGCTGGCGCTGAGCCAACCCGAAGCAAGGAGCTTCTTTGGATCTCTGACATATGCAGTGGTCCAAGGCTTTGGGCCACCTTCTACTGCTTTACTGCCACAAGCAGGGAGCTGGCTGGGAAGTGGAGCAGCTAGGATACAAACTGGTGTCCATATGGGATCCTGGTGCTTGCAATGGGTGGATTTAGGCAATTGAACCATCACGGTGGCAAATTCGTGAAAGATCTCACTTTTGTGGTGGTTTGTTTTAGTGAATACTAGTTTTACTAGTATTAGGTGTAACATGGCTGTTTATTCAAAGCTATTTGGGACTGAAATAACACTCAATGGATTCGGTACTGTTCTCATTCAGTTGGTTTTTCAAAATATGGCATAGCGTAAGTATTATGTAATTTTTAAAATAGAAAAGTGGTTTTGTAAAATTATTAAGTTTATTTTCCTCTGAATGTTTTTGCTGTTTAGAAGAAGTACCATTCTGCAAAGGAAGCTTACGAACAACTTTTGCAGACAGAAAACCTTTCTACACAAGTGAAAGCAACTGTCTTACAGCAATTAGGTATGTAACAGTCTACATCTGTTATTAGTGCCCCTCTCTGCTTTTTACAATAATTGGGATGACAACAAAGGGGTCATCAAAATACTTAAGGCAGAACAGTTGTACATGGGTTTCAAAAACTGTCCCAAAATGAACTTAGTATTTTTCATTTTTTTAAATGGACTTAGTGTTTTTCATTTCATTTTCCATGAACTTTCTGAAGAATGGTGTCTTAATATAATTATTTATTGCTGCTGGTTCTTTTAAGTTCTCAGAAATTTTCCCTACTGTTACTTGACTCCTGGGCTGGAGAAACTGAATGCTTTCTTTGTAATAGGTATATGCTTCCCACTCGGTGAAGCTAAGTGACTGGCCTGAAGTGTCGTAGTGGTGGTTGAGCCTGCTTTCATGACTTTATCTATATTAGTAACTGAAATGCTTTGTCCAAAATTTTCAGATCTTATAGAATAGTTTCTCTACATGGACATTTCTATTCCGAAGTTGAACATGAGTGAATGTAGGCATTTTGATATCATATGTTACTACTACCCAGAAGATGACGAAAAAGCTCTCCAACATTTAATGTTATTGCTTAATTGCTTGAGATACCTTTGTTGTCTGTATTTGTTATTTGGTGGAACGAAGTATGATGCCTTTAGAATAGAGCATTTACTCATTCACTTAGCATTTGAATATAAACTATTTTTAAATTTAAGAATTTTTATTGGAAAAGCACAGATAGAGAAGGAGAGTTAGAGGGATCTTCCGTCCATTGGTTCACTACACAAATGGCCACAAAGGCCAAAGTGGCCCAGTCTGTTCTGATGCCAGAAGCCTGGAACTTCCGGCTCTCCCGTATGGGTATATTGCCCAAGGACTTGTGCCAGCTTCTTCTGCTTTCCCAGGCCTTAAGTAGGGAGTTTGATCAGAAGTGGAGCAGCGAGGGCATGAGCTGCCATCAATATGACATCCTAGTACCACAAGTTGAGGCTTATTGTGCTGTGCCACTGCACTTGCCTCTGAGTATAAACTTTTCCAACCATGCTATGGTAAAGTTTTATCCACTTTAGAATATTCTGTTCTCGAAGTGCATATACATTTTAAAATTAAGAAATATAGAAATTATATAGTAACAACAGATTAGAAAGGATTTTGTAATCTAGTACATTAGTATTTAAATTAGTTATATTTCCTCTTGAGACATATTCTTGTGGCCATAATGAATAATTCTGTTTTCAATGTTTGCTCGTTTTTCTTTTTAAAAAAATTACATATATGTATTTGTTTTACTTTAAAGTGTTACAGAGAGTCTGAGAGAGAGAATCAGAGCAATATTCTGTGGTTTACCCTGAAATGGGCACAAAGACTAGAACTTGGCTGGTATGAAGCTGGAAGCCAGGAGCTTTTTGGGTGTCTCTCACGTGGGTGCAGAAACGCAAGAACTTTGTCCACTCTGTGCTGTCTCCCTCGGCTAGTTGTGCGGAGCTGAATCTGAAGAGGAGTAGCAAGAACAGACAGGTACCCGTAAGGGATGCCTGTGCTATAGGCAGGTTAGGTTGCTCTGCTACTGTGCCCCATTGGATGTTTATTCTAATCGAAATAATAAATCGAGTGAAAAGTGTATTTTCGCATGTTTTCTGCGTGGTGGCTTTAAATATAGAAGAAAAGTAAGTTAAATAATTATTTTTAATTCATTCTCTATAGGTTGGATGCATCATACTGTGGATCTCCTGGGAGATAAATCCACCAAGGAAAGCTATGCTATTCAGTATCTGCAAAAGTCCTTGGAAGCAGATCCTAATTCTGGCCAGTCCTGGTATTACCTTGGAAGGTGAGGCGTATCAGACATTATGTTTTGTTTTAATTTGTAGCAGCTCAAAGCTTTGAATTATAATCTAAAGCAGTTCATACAGTACTTTATAATCATATCAGTTATTTTCTCCTTTAACAAAAGTAGCTAGAATTCCTGGGAGTGAAATTGTAAGAAGTCTTAAATATATTTTCCTATAGCAAAATACGGTGAGATGGGAAATTTCTTATTTATTGGTTTATTATTTGAATTGAATTACTGCTAGTTTTTATAAGGTCTTAGCATTTTTCAATGAAATATTTAGATATGTTCTAGTTTCTAGTATTTGTATGTATTCAACAGAACGGAGAATTAACCTTCTCATCTGACTGAGGAAAAGCCGTAGCCAATGGAACCCTGCTCTTCTAATTTTGATTAATGATATATGCCTTAAAATAGGAATTTGATTAATAGCAGATCTCAAATCCCGCTTCTGCCTAAAATTGACGCATATTGTTGTTAGTTTTGTGGAAAAGGAGAAATGATGTGAAATGAAAAAGCTTACTGCCATTTTGTAAATGTGGCCTTTTTTTTTTTTTTTTTTTTTTTTTTTGCTTCTAATGCAGAAAACGTGAATCATGGTTGGTGATTATCTATAAAGGAAACTGTATTTATATGTATCTGATAAAAAAATTATGTGTGTGGACCAACATAGCGTTTTCCTTTTGTTCCTAATTGATTTCGGATTTGGTAATGTTTTATTAAGATCACTATATTGGGAGCTGAGGGACATTGAAGTTCTGGCTCGGATACTGTTTGTGAAATTATGGATGATACACTTGAAACTCTGTAGGTCTCAGTTTTCTTTTAACTTGTTAAATAGGAGAGGTTGTGTTACAGTAGTTGTGCTTCTGCATGGCAGACTATTTTATCACTTCGGGGGCATTCACTGCATCTGGAGACACTTTCTCACAACTGGAAAGAGTGATCTGGTATCTCATGAGTAGAGGCCAGGGATGGGGCTAAACAGGCAAAGGACGGTCCTCCACAACCAAGTATTACTTGCTTTGATAATGTCAGTAAAGTTGCATTTGAGAAACCTTTTCTTAGATACCTTCCTATTCTGTGATTTCTCTTGTAATCATTCTTTAATTTTTATGTTAATTCATTTTTACATGAAATATTTTGAGTAAATGTTGCATATTATTACATTAACTTTTAGTTGTGGATTCACTTTTTCACAGTAAAATTAGGAAAGTTATGTTGCTGTGAGAGAGTGCTTAAATGTTTTCTCTTAGAAACATTTAGTTATTCTTTAATAAATATGCAGTAAAATTGGTTTTAAAAGTACATATTTTTTGCAGATATTTCTAACCTCTCCAGATTTTTTAAATTGTCTAGTTTGGGTTGCTTCCAAATTAAGTTTGAGAGGCTAAACTCCTTTTTTCCCCTCCTAATTAAGGGAACCAGGAACAGCACCTTATCGTCATTGCATATTTTTCTCTGGCAAAGTGCCTATTCAATAAAATGAAGTCTCAACTCTGTTTGTATTTTGAGTTGGCATTATTGTTAGTGGAGCTGAATTTGAAACTTATGGTGACTGTAAAGGAAGTCTACTGCTGGGCAAGAAGGGTTAGGCCGTTGTCTCCAGTTTTAAAGTTTGTATACAATTTTTTTTTGGACACAGTGTAAAAGCTGTGTATACTAGAAAGTGTTTTCCTTTTGTTCTAAGATGAGGATTAGTTTACTATAATAGTCTTTTCAGCTTAAGTTTTAAAGTTTAAATTCTAGTTTTTAAAATTAGTATGTAATGAACCACATCTGAAATTACTATTTTTGCTGTGCTGTAACTTTTTAGCTTCTGTGAATAGTATTCTACAGAAATTTTTTTTCCAGTGAACTGATTTTACATTTTAAGTCATTGAGATACTTTAAACTTTCAGGGCAAACTTTTCCAAATATCTAATGTGGTTTTTCTGACATGCCATGTAAGGGGTACTTGGCTCGGTTCAACTTGTTTTGCAGTTTGTGATGATCATTTTAAGCATTCACTATTTCTTCTCTGTATTATTATAATTCTGGGTCTGTTTTAGACCTCTTTGATGCTTGCCTTTCTTGTCCTCTTTCATTGCATTCTAATGTGCTTTATCATGAGAAGAATTTTATAAATAAATTATATTTCTGAATTAAAGTTGCCAATGAAGATTTCAAGTGTCAATAAGAAACTATGGAATATACCGACCCCAGTCTTATAGGCTTTCTGTTACCTGTGCTTGCATTCAGATCTGTGTTGAAGATTGAATGTGCTTGTGATTTGCCATGTATGTATCAAAGTGAAAGTGCAATGTGTAGTTAGCTACACTAGCACCAGTCATCACAGAACTGGAGTATGTTAAAACTGAGAGGGTTCAGAGTGGCATGCAGTCACCCAGCTTTCATACTGTTAACCCTGGCATTTTACAGACGTGGAAAATGGCTTCAGAGGGCTTGACTTTTTTTTTTTTAATCACACAGGTATTTAGTTAATAACTATATCCTAGATTGACTCAGGCTTTCTTGAGCTACACAAGACTGTCTCGGAGGAACCCAGTTAAAGGCAAAGTCTGGTGGTTGGATTGGAATATTTGTATTTGAGCATATTGCTTCCTTCTTTGGCTTTATAGAAATGAAAATATTAATTTGGGAAGTATCACTTTTCTGTCCAAGCAGCTATGCAGATTTGTCGATAAATCTGTTACTTGGGTTAACAAAAACAAATGATGCATTTTTGTACTCTTCATTGCTGACCTTTTCTCCTGATTTCTCTATTCATAAAAAAAGCTTGCAAATGCTTGCTGAAACTGCCTTTTCTGTCTCTCAGTCGTTCACATGCCTTTATTGATCGGTGATTCCTTAGGCCCATATTTAACTCGTTGTAGACATTCTATGTTCTTAAAACCTGTCTTCCATGTGCGTAAGTTTCAATTCTAGATCTTTATCCTTAAAGATACTGTAAGCTTCAAGACTATATTCCCTATCTTTACCCTTTATTTTTTATTCCATTGATTCATTTTTAAAGATTATTTAGTTAGTTATTTAGAAGACGATGTGACAGAGTGTGAGTGAGGTATTGTCCAATAAATGATTCACTCATCTAATGGCTATAGCAGTCAAAACCTGCATTAGGCAGAAGCCAGGAACCAGGAACTCTAACCAGGCCATCCCATGTGGGACTCAAGTGACTTGAGTAATTGTTAGTACCAAGCACCAAGAGCGTGTGAGACTCCATCCGGCTAGCAATGTCGCATTGGATGAGGGCATTAGAAGTGGTGCTGCACCATGATGGCCGCCACCATTTCCTATTTTAATGCCCTTACCTCATGTTTAAGTTAGTGTATTTCAAAATGCATTCATCATTTCCTTCACCAACCAGCTCCTCCTCTTCCATTTGCCAAAAGTATCACTCTTTTCTTATTTAAGTAAGCTTAAAAAGTGTTCATAGCCAATAACCATCACCTTGTAAATCTACAATCAGCTCCAGAGCTTTCTTGGTTTCTTGTTTCTTCCTTCTTTTACTCTTGCAATGCCTATTCAGAATCAGTGACTGTAGCCATCCTCTTCTTACTATCCGTAACTAATTTTCCTTTCAATCTCTTCAATGTATTATTGTCCCATTCATATTCCTAGAAATTGTTTTCATCATGCTGTTTAGCTTATTAAGAAAAACTTGAGGTTATTCTTGGGCTGGATATGACATTTTCTACTGTTTTGTACTTTCACTTGGTACAAATTTTTTTAAAAGATTGATTAATGAATTTCACAGGCAGTGATAAAGAGAGTGAGATATTTCATCTTCTGGTTTACTCCCCAAATGGCTGCAATGGCCAGGTTGAAGAGAAGAAACCAGGGCTCCTGGGTATGTGGCAGGAACCCATGTACTTGGGCCGTCCTCCTCTGCTTTCCCAAGTGCATTGGCAAGGATCTGGAGCACAGTGCTGGGCCTTGAACCAGCACTCTAGTACTGAATGCCAGCATTGTAAGCTGAAGCACCAGCCCTTGTACCCCCTCGCTATCATTGTTCAAATGTATTTGAAATACCTCTCTTCTGCCTGAATGAACAATAACTCCCAGCTTCTATATGACATATAAAATGGTATTTTCAGAATAATATGAGGACCAAAAGATAATGTTTGGGCAAATCAAGATGTTAAAATGTTTTTACTGTTTGCGCTCAACTAGTGGTTTTCCAGAATAAGTGAATTATTGTACGGATATTGCTTTTCCAATCAATTTCCATGTAATCTTTTTCTTTACTCTTGATTAAATTACCATACACCATTTGGGAATTGAGACTCACCTGAACAATTTTGCATGTTGTACATATTCAAATTCATCACACTTACCTTTCTCTTTTTGACTTTTATCACATTCTGCAGTTTGTATTGGTCACCTTCCTTCCTAAATTCAGTTATTATTGCCTGTGCTGGTCATTTGATGTGACATGGTGACATTTGTAATGTGTCTGCAGTTAGCTAAATTAAAAACTCCTTGAAGAAAAGGAACTGGTCTTCCTTTAGTACCAAACACCAAGAAAATAATCTGTATATTCACAGTTTCAGTGTCTAGTAACCAGTGTGTTATATCCATAGTAAGAAAATGACAGGTCCTTAAACTTACTATCTTTACTGGTCATAAAGTTTATACTTTACTCCGTTTCATGCTGTTTTTGATGCTTAGTTTATTTTATGTTTCCTTTTGTGAATTGAAGAATTATTTTCCTCAGTGTTAATATTTGGGAAACTACAACTAAAATCTGACCCACTAAGTGTTACCAACCTGTTTTTATTTTTAACTCTTATAATGAGATGCAGCTTTACTAGTTGAGTGGGCTGTGGGTGCTGTGCTCAACTTGATATTATATTGACAACGATATTGCCTATAATTATTTTCATAGAGTTAATTAATACTGCTTTCATTAGCACCTGTAAGGCAAATTCTTGGTTTATTGCGGGATTAGTTACGATGTACATTATAGTATCTATATATAAACATATATGCATGAATATGTTGTTTTTGAAGTTTGTTGTCCATCCTTTCAGAAAAAAAAAATAATTTCAGTATTAATGCAGTTTTCTTGATTTTTCCCCCCCTCCCCTCTCAGGTGCTATTCAAGTATTGGGAAAGTTCAGGATGCCTTTATATCTTACAGACAGTCTATTGATAAATCAGAAGCAAGTGCAGATACGTGGTGTTCAATAGGGTAAGACTTTGCATTAAAAAATGGTAATTTGATACCAAAATATGGTTGCATCACATAAAATGTTCTTTATAGTTTATCACTTGAAAGTAAGTTTTTCATTGGTTTAATTTTTCTTTCCAGTGTGCTATATCAACAGCAAAATCAGCCTATGGATGCTTTACAGGCCTATATTTGTGCTGTACAATTGGACCATGGCCATGCTGCAGCCTGGATGGACCTAGGCACTCTCTATGAATCCTGCAACCAGCCTCAGGATGCCATTAAATGCTACTTAAATGCAACCAGAAGCAAAAGTTGTAGTAATACCTCTGCACTTGCAGCACGAATTAAGTATTTACAGGTAAAATTTTCAAATAGCAGTTTTTGTAAGGCCACATATTTCCCCCAGGGCACTCAGACAGGAGGAGGGTGGATAGAAAGTTTGTGTAGTTGTGTTTTAATGTCTTAAAATCTGTTTCCATATTTTGTAAACATACCATAGCTTATAATATTATTTTACTTTTCATTTTAACTAAAATATGCAGTATTTTAAAAGATGCTTTTGCGCATTTACGCTACTGATACATATTAATTTACATGATTTTTTTCTATGTACTGTCTGCATTTTTAAGTTGTCATAGCATTTTAGAGAAAAGAACACAAACACTGTCTTTCACTCTTGCTTGGAGTTTCATGAGAAGACAGCGATGAGAACTCTGAAAACAGAGTTCAGCTTTGTTTTTATTCTCACAAAGGTTTATATTCTGGTTACCCTCTTTATACTTAGTATCTTTCTAAACCCCCAATTTAGAAGCTAGTTTCTTTTAAAAGCAATTAGCTATAGCATTTAGGAAGATTTAGTGGACTTGATCTTACTCAAGTAGGCTTGTGTTAAATTTGCTTTTTACATAATTTTTCCTAGGCTCAGTTGTGTAACCTTCCACAAGGTAGTCTACAGAATAAAACTAAATTACTTCCTAGTATTGAGGAGGCATGGAGCCTACCAATTCCCGCAGAGCTTACCTCCAGGCAGGGTGCCATGAACACAGCACAGCAGGTGAGAAGTTGGGTTATGTTCTGCAGGTGCCCAGCTTTAAGGGTTCTTTTCAGTCTGTAGTGGTCAAGCTTACTTTACTGAGAACAGTAGGCTTCTATTAATGAAAAGCCTTTTGACTTAGTTGTGAAGGGAATCTAGAACAAAAATTCCCTCTAATATGGGAAGAAATTTTGGGTTACCAACTTAGAACCTTTGTGCATTTTCGTGATTTTGAAGGAGATTTCTTAATGCTGCAGTTGATTAATTTTTAAAGCAGTTTTTTTTTTCAAAGGAAGGTACACATTCCTCCATTGACGATTCATTTGATTTCGATTTTCAGTAATTGCAATCAGCGATGTCCACATAGCTTTGAAAAATATGCCACTTGTAAAGTTTTATAATTTGAAGGAATGAATTAAGAATATGTAGAACCCTATTTTTGTCTTCCTTCTGTGATTCTTAGGCATGTAAACCTCATCATCCAAATACTGAACCTGTATTAGGCCTCAGTCAAACACCAATTTCACAGCAGTCCTTGCCACTGCACATGATTCCTTCTAGCCAAGTAGATGACCTGTCCAGTCCTGCCAAGAGGAAAAGAACATCTAGTCCAACCAAGGTATATGTTTTAGAGAAATAGAAAATCCCACTCAAAAAGGAATCTCCAACTGCCCTGAACTTGTGCAGTTTGAAATCTTTTGTCCTTTATTTTAAATTTGTGGACATCAAAGAGTGAAAGGTTTGAATTTCTCCATTCCAAATTCTTAGCCTCATATTAAATATAGAAACTAGGGATAAATTTGCATTCATCAAATCATTTTATTCATCTCCCTGCCTTTAAGATCTCAGCACACTTTTCATCATCACTTTTTACTGACATTGACATAAATTTAACGTTGGATCAGGTGGACAGTGTGGTATTTAGGCTAGCTCTTTGGGCCATAGTTTAGGGGTGGGCTTTTGGGTGGCTTGTTACTGAAATATTTTGTAAAACTTGTGACTTCCAAGTGTAATATGCATATAAAATTATCTTTAAGCAATGTAATGCTATAACTTTTCTGTGTAAATGTTCTATTTTGTGGTCATTTGACTGCCTTCAGCCATTATTAGCTATGATAATTTAATCAAATACCTCTTTAATTGTCTTTTCTTTCTTTTGTTTTTGTTTTTTTATGTTACCAATTTTCCTTAGAATACTTCTGATAATTGGAGTGGTGGCCATGCAGTGTCACATCCTCCAGTACAGCAACAAGCTCATTCGTGGTGTTTGACACCACAGAAATTACAGGTATGTGAGAATTACTTTTGACAGGTGGTTTTTTCTGTGGAAAAAAGGGCACAGAAATAATAAGGTATAGATTCTTTAAGTATTATTTCTGCACATTGAGTGATACGAGCTTGATTAGTATGTATTTAGATGAGATAAATTAATCCACATTTATGTGGGTAATGTAGGTAAATTTTTTTTTTGCTTGTTTTTCATTTCTTTATATATGAAACAACATATTCCTTTGATTTGAACTGCGTGACGTATGAATGCAGGGCATATTGCAGGAGTGGGAAACGTCTAGCCCACAGAGCATATCAGCCCCACAAGATTATTTGGTTCTGCCAAGGCAATAATAGACAGGACTCACAAATTTAATAAATTTGATTACCTTCTAATAGATTAATGTTTCTAGTTTATAGAGATATGTGTTATATATAGGCAAATATGCACTCTGCTTTCTCTAAAATTATTATTGTCCTTTTGTACATGACTGGGAAAATTCTATGTAAAAGTAGTCCTCCCTCGTCCAGTTTCACATTCTTTGATTTCGTTTGTACACAATGAACCAATTGAAAAGTCACAGAAATCATTCATAACTTTTAAAATTGTGCCCCTTTCTCAGTGGCATGAAATCTCATTCTAGTTTGGCTAGACTGTGTGATTGTGATAATTAATAATTCCAGTGCATTCACATATGTTTTTAGCTGTCTGCTGTCAATAGCTTAGTATCTGTCTCAATTTTCAAATTAACTGTTATGACATCATAGTCCTTTTTATACAGCATCCCTTATGGCACTTAGTAAAGGCCCCAAAGTACAAGCATAGTGTTGCTGATAGTTCATGTATACCATGCCAAAACTGTAAAGTGCTTCCCTTAAATGAAAAATTGAAAGTTCTTCTAAAGGAAAGAGGAAGTCATATGGTGAGGGTGCTAAGTTCATATGGTGATCACGGTAAGATCAAATCTTATATCCATGAAATTATGAAACGAAGGCAGAAGAGTTATGTGCTGATTTTTACTGTGACACCTTTAATTGCAAAAGGTGTGGTTACATTGCTTGATTTGATGTTTAATTAAGATGGAAAAGGTATTACATTTGTGTGTGGAAGATGTTGACAACAAAGGTATTCCAAGTGCTAAAGAAGTGCTAACACAGGAAGCCTAGGGTTTGATAGCATGTGTAGTTTAAAATACCTGCAGTAGGATTGAGAAGATCTCCATTTATCAGAAAGAACTAGTGCATGTTATTAGCAATGTATTCAAAGGCCTTTCCGTGATCGGATAGAAGAACTTTCTTGTTCTTTTATGATTAGATCATATTTCTTTACGCAAATGTTGTATGTTGTTACTGATCACCTATTTTTAGACATCTAGCTTCTCTTCATACTCTTCTAATTCCAAATAGTGCAGTTTTGAGCATATTTGTTGTCTAATTTTAAGCTTAAGGAAGTTTATGTGAATACTACAAGTACTGTATTAGTAAGTACAATTTCATGCCCATCTGTGAAATATCATGTAGTAAACTCGATTCCATTTAATGATTACTTCTCAAGCCTTTTAAAGAACTTCATCTTGAAGTTTATAATTGTTGGTCAGAATAGCTATTCTGAGAACTCAGATAACGATTCTGAGTTTTATGTAGTGATTTTAGAGGAAGGTTTTTGAGAGGACTGAGCCTGTTTCTTAGATATGTCTGTGACTATATTCTCCTTTTTTCTTCTAGCACTTGGAGCAACTCCGTGCAAATAGAAATAATTTAAATCCAGCACAGAAACTGATGCTGGAACAGCTGGAAAGTCAGTTTGTTCTAATGCAACAACACCAAGTGTGTATAGCATTTTTTTCCCTTAAATTTGTTAGCAATTTGAGTATTTTTAGTGACTATCACATTATTTTAGAATATATTCATTCCTGCTTCTCCCTTATACTGGCATTTTATGAAATATAGTGATTTGCTTCTGAAAATACTGGTAATAGACAAAGGTCTTTTTAAGAGAAGCAGGTATAAGTTTATTTGTGAATACACCTTTTATGCACACAACTTATATTCCAAGGGTTTATTTATATTGATTTAATACCTAAGCTATCAGACATTAAGATTAGGATTTGGGGCTTTTTAAAAACAGTTTGGAGAATTTGACAAAAATCTAGAAGATAGAAATTTTGAGGTTTGAAGTGGGGGAAAGATCAATTGCAGTTGTTTTTAGTATGTTGAGATGCTTGCTTTTTCATTACTAATGGGATAGTTCTTTAAAATGAAGTGTAGTTCTGCTTTCCCTAGGAAGCTTACATCGAAATGAATGGACATATTTTTTTTTTTATTTTAGTGTGTATTTTTTTCACCTAAAGTTATTAAATGTTAGAGCCAAACCAGATATTCTTTATCTTTATATTTTGCTTCTCTGCTGGGCCTCGTGAAACAATGTGTACTGTTTGGTTTTTGACAGATGCGACAAACAGGAGTTGCACAGGTACGATCTACTGGAATTCCTAATGGGCCAACAGCTGACTCATCACTGCCTACAAACTCCATCTCTGGCCAGCAGCCACAGCTTGCTCTGACCAGAGTGCCTAGCGTCTCTCAGCCTGGAGTCCGTCCTGCCTGCCCTGGGCAGCCTCTGGCCAATGGACCCTTTTCTGCAGGCCAAGTTCCCTGTAGCACATCAAGAACGCTGGCAAGTACAGACACTATATTGATAGGCAATAATCATATACCAGGAAGTGGAAGTAATGGAAACGTGCCTTACCTGCAGCGAAACGCACTCACTCTACCTCATAACCGCACAAACCTGACCAGCAGCACAGAGGAGCCGTGGAAAAACCAACTGTCTAACTCCACTCAGGTAATAAAGGACTGGCGCCCTTGTTGGCTTTTCATGTTATGGCCCGCCTTGATTTGGTTAGGTACATTTTCAGAGAATAGAAGCTTGAGGTTCTATTTCATAAATGCTGCGGCAGTTCTACAGTGTTATTACTACTTCGCTGTAATTTAGTACATGTATGTATATTTTCTTTAAATTTCCAGCCAACAGATAATCTGCCCAGCTTAGAGAGAATAGGAGTCCCTCCCCCTGAAATTAAAAAAAAAAATGAAGAAGCCCACTGTCTTGTGTTAATTTACAGTGGCAGCCCAAGGACATTTTGTTTAGTCTGTTTCTACAACAGTGGATTAATAGCAGTGGGTATGTTTGCAAGCTGCAGCAAACAAGATTAGGTGAGTGCAATGTGAGAATGGGCAGTATCGAGTAGTTTAACTAACAGAAAATTGAATGAGACTAGGTAGATATGGTCACCAAGGTGTGAGAATAACATTAGAGAAGAATTGAGGATTTAGTTTAGGGGCCTTTTGATGTAAAGGCCAGAAAATTGAAGAATTAGCAAATAAGAATAGAATTAGCTTGTGGGGTGCTAGGATATCCAGGAGAACATAACCGATGCCCTGTGAGCGCAGTAAAGTCTTTCAAGGAGAAGTGTATAATCAAGTATTGGGCCTAGGTTGACTACAGTGATCATTTCAGGTTTTTCATAATTTTACTGGTTTTGGGAAACTAAAGGCACATGGAAGATCTCACCCTGTGCTTGTGTTTCTGAATTTACAATCAATAAGCCAAGGATGCATTTCGCATTTTTAAAGGGTTGTAACAAAGGGGGAAAAAAAAACCCATGTAATGACATCTTATAACCTGCAGAGCCTTTTTAAAACACTTGCTATCTGATCCTTTACGAAAAAGGCTGTCAACCTTTGGGTATGAGTGAGAGCAGTGGATTGCTGGGGATTTAAACCCTGTTTGTATTTGGTTTCAAGGTGAAATTGAGGAAGGAAAGCTGAGGTAGCAGGTGTAGACAGTTCTAGCATAGACACATAGTAGTGTGTTCACTAAAGTTCCAGGAAATAGGATTGAGAGGATGGGATTTTGGAGATTCAGTGTCTGAAACATTAAAGAAAGTTTTGTTAATGACTTGCAATTATCATTCAGTAAATTAAAACTTTTGTTATGATTATAGAATATAGTTTTTATTCTCCTTATCATGTATAATCCCTGGCTTTCTTAGTTGCTGAAATTTTCAGTAACTATTTTAGAAATTTGCTAAAAATATGATTGTAGCTGGGGGGAAAAGTTGCACACACTTCAGTTTGCAGATCCC